AGTTCATTTTAATAATAGTTCATTTTAATAATAGTTCATTTTAATAATAGTTCATTTTAATAAGGTATTCGAGTAAATACTTTATTTTGTTTCATTAGAAATAGTTTATAAAATATTAGAATTAAAATTATTAACCACCAGTTTGTGACTTTTAAAGATTTTGTTTTTCATATATGCCGATTTATTCTTTTTTCTGTATTACTTTGTACCAGTATTTACTAATTTCAGCTTTTGCTACATTCCACATCTATATGTATTTAGTAATTTCTATTCACCTTGTAATAAGAAAAACTAGTAATTATGATTCTACTTGTGAAGTAAGGGAAGTTATATAAACATCTGGAAATACCTCAAATTAGTACTTACGAAAAACGTCTTCTTTTAACTCAACTATCATAACACATCTGATGTTTTGAACAAATGTTTTTTAATGTAGCAGATTGAAAGAAAGCTTTTCTATTTGTCAAACGTACAGGTTAAATACATTTCGGAAACCAACATGTATTAATAACTCTAACTTAAAACTCAACCAAAAAATGTCCAGTAGACGAACGTAATGAGAGTCATAAATAAACAGCCACATACATAAACAGATTGACAGTCAACACAGGTAGAAAAAGTTTTACATAAAAAAGTCATATACAAACAGAAATTTAAACAGACACATAGAAAAATATCGACACGTTTTCAACAGGCAGATGTACTTAGACAGAGATATAGACAGATGTGCATAAAGACAAAACATTCAGAAAAGCTGAAGTACTGGCATACGGACAGATACAGATGAACAAGACGAAGCAATAAGATAGATATAAACATACGGATAAAAACAGATAAACAAGATGAAGCAATAAGATAGATATACACATACAGACAGATACAGATAAACAAGATGAAGCAATAAGATAGATATAAACATACGGATAGAAACAGATAAACAAGATGAAGCAATAAGATAGATATAACACATACGGATAGAAACAGATAAACAAGATGAAGCACTAAGATAGATATAAACATACGGATAGAAACAGATAAACAAGATGAAGCACTAAGATAGATATAAACATACGGATAGAAACAGATAAACAAGATGAAGCACTAAGATAGATATAAACATACGGATAGAAACAGATAAACAAGATGAAGCACTAAGATAGATATAAACATACAGACAGATATAGCAACAATGGATGCAGATCTAGACTACAGGGTGGTGGTGGAGGATCATTTAAGAAAAAGATTGCATGACTTCATTAGTTATAAAAAATGTTCACAATGACCAGCAGAGGGAGACGTTTTATAGCATTTAGTAATCCTGACAGCTATGTTTGATAGCATCTAATCGCTTGCAAAAATATAATCATGTAATTATTGCAATAATAATAATAACAACAACACCGTTTCAAGATATTGTTATCTGGAAAGAAATAAGGTTAATCCCTGTAATATTTTTCCAATATGTTCTTCCTAACATGTGTCCTGGAACCGAACTTTTTTTCTTTTCTTTCAAATGAAGTAACAATAAGAATTAGGTTATTGATTATAACAGAACCTCTTCTCTGACTAAAGATGAAAATAAAAAGAGTATCTTGCATTTAATCTGCTCTAGATGTCTGTAATGCATTTGATAAATATTTAGGCTAGTTGGCACAAAATTACGACTTACTTTCTTTAAGCTTTAACAAGAATGTTATTTTCTCTCTTCACGCTGGTATTTGAACAAATAGGTTAAATCGTTGTTTTCAACAATTTTAAAGTAGAAATCTATAACCGCTTTGTTTAAAACTATATTCGTACACATTTAATGGGGTCTATTCCACCATTTCTCTTTGATATGTTTTAAGACGCGGCGATTTATGGTTTTAAAATAATGAAATCCCTTCCGGAAACTCTAAATCGCTTGTACGCTTGGTCGAAGGGTACGTTTAGGGTGCACTGAGTGTTCCATAAAGCATTGGGGCACCCTAAAAGATGGTCTTCGGCCAAAAAAATGCACCATACCGCGCGTAGGATACAATTTGGGGCACAGCCTTGGAAACCGTCACAGAACGAGAGTCAAGTCGAAGCAATATCAAGCAGATCACGTTTACAGTTTCCGATCGATTTAATTTCTGAAACGTGAAGAGGAATCTATTGCGGTCCAGTTAGATAGACACATAAACGCACGATCTCTCGGGGAAAAAAATATTATATGGTAGATGGATTATGGAAAGACATCAGGGAGGAGGGGTGGTCCTTGAACATGACAGCCTTACAACAGACCTTTTTTCAATGGAAACTATGCTGCAGTACTATTATCAAGAGCAGCTCCTTTGTTTGTTGTAAGGCACAAAGCTACACAACGGACTACCTGTGCTCTGCCTACCGAGAGAATCAAGACCAGATGTTTAGCGTTATAAGCCCTCAGCTACCAGAGCGCTATCAAAAGCCACGGTCGTCGGATAGAGCATGACCGGAAGTGGCGAACTTGACTATAACTATGTGGTGAGGCTTCAAAATCGTTGTAATATATCGTATTCAACTTTATATATATTGAAGTACTTGTTAGAGTGATAATTCCGACGCACTTCACTCAATTTAGAGCTATTCGGGTCGGCTGTGATACGACAAATACAGTGGTGGTTGGAATACTATTAGTATAAGCCGTTTATTGCAACAACAACTGTTATGATGTGAACGCTTTTTACAAGCCGGCGAAGAATTATTATGACTAATTATATGTAGTGTTGAAAATATAATAGGCCTAACATTAATGTTTTATGAAATGTTTAATTAATTAGTCATAATCAAGCTTCGCCAGCTTATAAAAGGCGTTCACACGATAACAGTTTTAAATGACATTTGAATGACGTTCGTCTCATTTTCCAAATGCTCATATAACATAGATCTGAGCATCGTTTTGTATTATTGCTATATTAAAGAATATGTCCTAATTACTGCGCTGACACAAAAGTTACGTTCAGCTATACTGGATCTACTAAAACCAGAACTTGTATACTGAAATAAAAATCATGCTAATTGTGGTTGTTTTTTATTTCCACATTCTAATGCTACTCCAGTTTTTGTCGTTCAAACCGTAACTTCTAATGTTGAAGTTGAATCCAGTTCTTATCATTTTTACCTTGAGTTCACTTAACAGTTGTAAAAGTTCTCACGGAACGTCTTCAGCTGTTCTGTTATTAATATCAGCTATGGTTCTATGACATAAAAAAATCGTATTTACTGCTATAAAAGACTTAAACTATCTTCATTTTGTCTGTCTTCTAAAGTCAACTATTTCATTATGTTGGTTCTTCTGGTGGCCGTGGCGCTGATTGGAGCCAATGCCTCGCCCGTGGAGAGTAAGTAGCTAGAATGTTGATTATGATAATATCGAAGTTTTTATGTAAAGGAAGAAATACTTAATTGTGTTAAAATTAGAATTATTCGGGTCAAAATTCCAAAGTTGTTATGGTGATGAGGACTAGATTTGGATTTGAAAAATAAACATTCTTGTTTACCGGGAGTTTTAAATCTACGTTTTGTCAGAAAGCTTGACATGAATCTTAAAATGAAACGAGGATTTGTTTGTTTGTATGTTTTTATATTAAACTTGTTTCTTCAACAACAACAATATAATTCTGTTTAAAGTAAGATTAAGATGTAGATATTGAAAAATGGCCTTGTTCTCATGGGAACAGAAAAAAATAATAATTTATATTATTGGAAACGTAGGTCCATGTTTTGACGGTAAAGTTGATTATAGTTTTTTTTAGCTCGTTTATTTGGAGTTATCTGGCGTGTCCACTGAGGGAAATCGAAACCCGGATTTTAGCATTTCAAGTCCGTAGACGTAAATGCTGTCCCACGGGGGGACATTTCGATGAGACCTGATTTAAACCTTATAAGAAGTTATAATGCAATTAGATTTGGTTTCAATATTTTTTGTTATTATTAGCAACATATCGAAATACAGTTTAGCCCCGTTATAACGCGATCATTGAGGTCCATAAAATGTCATCGCGAAACAAGCAGGGTCGCGTTAAATTGGGATTCAAGAAAATCACTGTTCAAACTGATCCAATGTTGACCTAACATCCTGAAACACCTCTATTTTTGCCCTCTTTGACTAGTTTTTTACACGTTCCCTTTCTGGCAAGTGAATTACCTCTGAATTACAGAATTTTGCGAATGAATCGTTGTTGTTACAGTAGAAAGTAAAACACAAATTATTTTTAGTGGGCTTTTTTAATAAACAAAACAACAAATAAAAACATTCAAGAATATTGGCAATCATCATTTGCAGTTTATTTCTTAAAAAACTGATCGAGTGTTCCTTGCTTGAACGTAGCATGTCTCTGGCTGCGAGCGAAATCTAGAATGCTTCCAAGTTGGAGGATTTTTATGTGGTCCACCTTCTGAGTCTCCAGCCAATGCATGCTAGCCTCGAGGTGTTCAATGGCTTCAGACACTTTTGGTGGTTGTGATGGAGGCTCTTTATTATCCTCTTCTTGTGGATCGAGAACCGGTACACTTGCCTCCATCGGTGCTATAGTTACGTTACGGACGTTCTGGGCGTCCGTCAAATGCTCATATGTTGGGCATTCGTCGTCAACAGAGTGCCACTGGTGTAGCTCTTCGTTGCTCCATTCAGACAGCTTCTTTGCCTCACGCGCATCTTCCTCTGTGAAGCCATACAAATCTGTATCGTCATCATCATCTTCCGTGGTGGGTTGCCATGACGAAAAGGCTAGCCCTAAACCCTTCTCCCAGCATTGCTCTACACACGACGAGCTGACAGCTGCCCAGGCCTTCCCACCTGAGTGGCAAACTTCCTTCGTGTTCAGGCTTTTCAGATAGGCTTCACGTGTTGTTGAATCGTCTACAATTCTAGGAATAAAAACCCGCCTGTAATTCTGCTTGAACACGGAGATGATTCCTTGATATAGAGGCTGGATCTTGGATGTAGTGCTCTTGGCGAGGTAGGAGACTCGGATCTTTTCCTCACGGCTTACTAAGTTAGTAGCTGGCGGATGAGCGGGACAGTTGTCAATCAGTTGTCTAATGACCCATCGCGTTATATCTGAATTCGCGTTAAATCGGGGTTTCTTTTGTACTTACAAAAATCAAGGCTTAAGCTTCGTAAAAGCTTCTTTGTATCGTTCACCAGATTAATATATTTTATCGAAAATGTTATAAGAAATATCATTATATCCACATGTGAGGTTGAATAGTACATTTTTAAAATGTTAGTTCAGCTGTTTTTTGTGTTATAACATGTATGAAATAATAAATTTATTTCAGATACCTTCATTATTTTGCTTTAATCCTACTTTATATGTGTAACGAAAAAATCAAACTGCTTTTTTACATTCATAAAAATTTTTCGAAAATTAAGTTTTAAATAAAATTATTTTATTCTTACAGGAAAATTAGAGAATCTTGGCGATAGCCCTCTGTTCCATTCTCGTAAGTATCTTTTGTCAGAAAAAAACAAAACAAAAAACATCGCTGGTGAGAAACTTTATAAAGACAAGTAATGTAGACTAAATTTTGCCAACGTTCGTATAGATAGTTTTAAATGTGAACATAACTATATACGAGTAAACACTTGATCTCAAATTATATAAAAAATAGCACTTTAAATAAATATTAGTTTCTGGATTTGGCAGATTTTAATTCTAGTAATTACAAGAAGATATAAAAAACATTAAACTATAGTACGTGTATTTAAATAAAGAACAATTCACGCACCCAGCAAAATATTCTTTACGTTATTATTTGATAAACAATAAGTTATAAATCTCACTTTCTTCCTACAAACGTATATATAGGTAAGTAGAGAAATATAACACGTAATAAAGGGTTGAAATTAATAATCAGTGTATGATATGTGTCAGTATAATTATTAATCTCTATAAGTTTTCCATGTGAATACAGTCCAACAGTATGTTTTGTTCATTAGATTTCTGCATTGTTTTTATTGTAGTTTTTCAACATTAATCGTCTCGTGTCCTTAATACAGGTCTCTTTGAAGGTGACATTGCAGGAGTGGGTCCTAACAGAGTAAGTTGAAATGTTTTACCCTCAGTACGACAATAGACTTTTAAGAAATTAAGATACTTAAAAATAGTTTGTCAAATCCTTATAGTAGGCTCTATTTATTTAAAAGGAAAAGTTATCACAGTTCTGAAAGCAATCATCGCATTAGTATGCATTACAGCCTATAATAAAGTTTCGAGACGGCTTGAATGGGTAATGAAAGAAGCTATATTACAATTAACAAATGTACAACGTTTCGACAAGCTTTTATCATCGTCAGTTTACTTCGTCACCCATTCAAGCTGTCTCCAAACTTTATTATCTAAAAGTGGATTTCTCTTCATTAAGATTTGTATTATAGCTTAGTTAAGGCGATATCAAAGTCAGGGAAAATGTTTACATTGACGAGTTCTATTGGAAGATTTGTATTATAGCTTAGTTAAGACGATATCAAAGTCAGGGAAAATGTTTACATTGACGAGTTCTATTGGAAGAGCTGTATTCTGCAGTAGGTAAACGTTTGAATCAATCAAATAAAGCCACGACAACAGTTGCTGGTACATTCTTAACAAATGAGCTCAAGTTGAACATTATATATATGTATATGGACTTTTTAAAAGTAAGTCAAGCTCTAAAAATGGAGAACTAGGCTACCCACTTCTATTGTTAACTGCAACTGCTCTTCTTAACACAGAACTGATAAATAATACTTGTTGTTAAACAAATGTTTAAACAACTTCTTTGTTCAATTATGTACAAGCTGCCCAGTGTCGGCTAACAATACAAAGAATTAAATTGTGGCGAAATGCTACAAGTTCTTCAAATACCTACAAAATGATAGGTTTCTTTTTTTGTTAGTGTAAAACACTTAAATACACCAGTTC